GATTGCACATTCATTTATTATTTTCCCTTTATGTACCCAGCAGTACGTAAATTAGAGGGAGCAGTGTGCTCTGTGTACACTCTGGGAAACAGGCTCTGTCTGAAACTGGATAGTGTCATCATGCTAACAACTCACAGAAACCTTGCTTCATTTGTTCTTTTTTTCTTTTTCCTGGTAAAAAGCTTATCCATTTATTAATAAATTCTCTAGAAAAAAATGAATGATTGGGTGGGCCTCTACCTGTAGATGTAGAGGCATGATTGCCTTGAGCAAGCTAATGGGACTGATTCTTTGCCATGAATGTTTATTTCCATGCAGGTGGAAATAAACTGATTGCAGCACCATGTTCTATTGCAGTTTATGCTTCTTTTTGATCCAACAGCCTCCATCCTGGATCTTTCTTTGTGTGTGAATTCTTCAAAGCATCAGCTGTCTTGCTACTAAGTCACTGATCTCTCTGGCAAAAGAAAAATTAAATTTCCAGCATTAATAGTGCCTCATTCTGACATCAAAAATTACTCCTAGTGACTTAATGGGCCTTAGGGCACTCCTTTATACGTCTTCAAGAGTGAATGGTCAGTTATAATCAAGTCATACTCACTTAAACCAACGAACTAAACTGGAGGATGAGCGTTAACAGCTGTTGAAAAGCTTCCATCTGGCCTTTGTCAGGAACAAATAGCTGACTGGTGGTTTTTGAGTGGAAAATATTGAGCCAGAAATGGATGTTGAAAAACTTCTTTCCAATACTTGTATTTTAAAAATGAGTGCAAGTTCTTGTTAATGGAAAATGGAACAGCTGCCTTTTTCTTTTATTCTTCAAGGAAAACACCAAGCCAGGATGTCTTTATGATGTTTTCATCAGTTCTCTAAAGACCGTTGTTGTATTTCTTTTCCTTTCTTCTGTTACATCCTGTCACAAAGGAGATAATACAGATGTGGCAGCAGTTGTACTTAAACCTCATAGTATGGCTTGCAAACCTTCTGTACGGTTTTTTGCCCTCATTTTAGCTCTCCTGGGGTTATCATACTCAAACTGCACCTCAGTGTTCTTGCGCATTGCACTACTTAGTAGTTGTCTGACTGAACACAACAAACATGCAAACATGGATTTGTTTGGATCCTCTGTTCCATGCACACCCCTGCTTGCCAAGGGAACAGTTCCTGAGAAGAGCCCAGGAACAAACAAAGATTTTGTTCAGTGGGCTAATCAGGGTCTGTGGTTTGTGCACAATAAGGGGAGATGCCACTTGGCAGTTGAGGTGCACTTGAAGAGATCCTTATACAGAGCAAGAAATACCATAAGTGTTTAATATACAGAATTTCAGTGGAAATAAAAGTACTTTGAAATGTTCTGATCAAACAAAATGAAAGTCCATTTTCTCTAATTTATATTCAGTTATAAACCCATAAAAATATTAAAATGTTATAAAAGAAATACTGCATAATTACATGACTTCTAATTTGTTTTCTGCTTAATTTTTGTGAAATGTTACTTCCTTCAGTTTTGGAACTTTGTACTGAATAAATGCTCTGTTGAATAATTGCCCATAAGATGTGTTTTCAGATCTTCAAATCATTCTAAAACTGTTAACAAACAGGCTTCAGCATCTGCTCCATCAAGTTTCATTTGCTCTGTGTGGCTGTCATTTTTGGGTAGACCTTCTTCACAGCTTTCTCACAATCCTGTGGCTAAAGTGTTCTGGAAGACCTGGATTTAGTTTCCACATTTTTATGAAATTAATGTAATTTTTGAAGGATGAATGGGATCCAGCCATTGGACTTTTTTCTATGTGCTTTCTTAATTTGAAAACAGGAATTTGTCTTGCAGGAACTGTTTTACAATTGCTTGTGTGATTCAAGCTTTTCTCTGTTCATTCTGTGATACAAACTTTTCTTTCTGTTCATTCAGTATCACATACCAGTGCTGTCATTCCCTCTCTGATAAATGGTGCAGATAATTTTTTTTTTGATCAACAGATACGTAAATATGACTTGTCTACATGTATTCTATTATCAGTTGTGGAGAACTTTACAAAATCAGAGATTTCAAAGCTTTAAAGTCTAAACAACTACTTGGAGATTTTATAGAAGACTGTATTTACCTATTCCAATGTTCTCCGGAAGAGGTAGAAGTTCACTTTTACCAAGTCTGACGTGCTATCTTTGCCACTGTCAGAATAACCTCAATTAATTTCTTGATTGGTAAATCAGACTTTGAATCCAGAAGACAATATGACTTTCAAAATCTGGGTTTGGGTGTTTATTTTATGACCTACATATCTGGTCAGCCACTGTCCAAGACAATGACAGAGAACTGGTTGTCTTTGTGCACTTCTCATTGTTATTCACTGGCAGGGTAGTCATCAGAGGGTCACATTAAAGTTCATTCAATCAAAGCTGTGGCAGTAGGTATAGTCTGCCTCAGGTCACTTCCATCTCCTGGGATTTGTAGGGCACTACCTGAAGTTATTTGCGTAATTTTATGTCACATTAGTGCCTTGATACTTCGTAGCAAAGATTTCAAAGGAGCAAATCTGTATGTAGTGTTTTACCCCAATGACAATCCAATTATCTCTTCTCTTTCTGTGTTATTGCAACCATTTGTATGTATCCTCTGGTATCTTCCGAGTTCATTTTCACTTAGCTGTAATCTGTATGTAATATGTATTGTTATCTTTATGTTAGCGGTTATAATTAGGTTTTGTATTTCTCTCTTCATGTGGTTATTTGCTTGTGTGCTTGTAATTGTCAAGGGAACCTCTGTCTTTACTTATGAGATAATCTCTGAAAGAACTCCCTTGTGCTGCAATAGTTGTTTAAGTCAGGATGAGATGAATGAATCTCAGCCAAGAAATATCTGGTTTTCTTCACTGAGAATAGAGGGATGCCAGGTAACTCATATCTGTATCTAAATTGTTTAGTTTGCATGAATCCTAACTATGTCTTAACTTTTTTATCTGTATATGGTCCTGGTTTTGGCTAGAATAGAGTTAATTTTCTTCTTAGTAGATGTTACAGTGCTGTGTGTGTCATTATCTATATTATATCTATTATAAACGTGTATAAATATAGGCATGTATATCTGTGCACATGCACACAGATAAATATTAAGCCCAACCCAGTTTTGTTACTTCCATTCCAGTATCATTTGCAGAGATTTTTATGAGGCTATTGTACAAAAATTGTCTTAATTTCTCATTTTTATATGTTTAATTTTTATATGATGTACACTCCTGGATATTCTGAAGAAGAGGTACCCAAGAGGTACTTTTTTAGTCTTGGGGGGGAAAAAAAGGCATGAAAACTCACTGCTGTGAAGAATGTTCTGATTAGGAACACATGAAGTCTATATATTAGTAATTAATTCCTCTCAAAGCTAAATTTCTAAACTTAAGCTGATGTTTTGGCATGTTTTGGTGTAAGACCTTAGACACAAATGATGAGATGATAATCTAAATGTAATTTCTGGGTTATTTCTACTTTAGTGACTGTAAAGAGATTGTGAAACAGTCATTTCTTGAAAGAGATGTTATTTAAAATGCGAGAAATGGAAATGTATATAAAACAAACTGGTTCAAAAGTCATAATTTTATATATTTTAACGGGAGCTATAAAAAGGAATATGATGTTACCACTTCTTAGAGGGGAAAACTCTGAGAAAATAAATAGGAAAGCAAAATAATAAATGAAAAAAACCCAAAAGCAACAAACAAAAATATTGTTTTTTTCTTTTCCCTCTTTTCTCTCTTCGTTGAGCAAAACTTACAAATGGCAGAACTCCCAGAAGCAAAGCAGTTCTGTTCACACATCCATCTTAACCAAACAGCCTCTTACCTGCCGCAAGACCTGTGGTTCTTAACTCCTTCTTTACCCAACTACACAGAAATTCTTTTAAGAAGTGGCTGTTTGGCTTACATTCATTTAATAACCACAAACACACTAAGTAGCCTACCAGAACTGCAATGGAATTTTAGCTAATTATTCCATTTCACATGTGACATGAGCAGAGTTTGCAAAGAAAATTAATTTAGTTTAGTCAGTGATAAATTTTACTGTGAAATATATAAGTTCATGCTGTACTTTATTATCTGACAGATTTTTCAGCATTACGTAAGGAATAGATTTTTCAAATTCCCTTTAGGTAGAAACAGTATGATAAGATTTGTCAGGAAAAATTTAGATCTCTACCACCAATTAATAAAGTTTTGGAATAATACAAATCTTGTGGATTTCTTTTTTTTTTTCGAAGGTGATTTTCTGAGAGAAATAACTCTAATTCTGTTGAAACTTTCATTCTATAATTTTAAATTGTGAATAATATATTTGTGGATGATTTTGTATTGCTACTTAGATTTCAGACTGGCAGTGTTTTTGTAAATTTTAGGGATAATGTTTATTCATTTAGTTGTCCAAGATGATAAAGAGTGGGGTCTAAACTTCAGATCATAGAGAAGATTGGTGACTTTCAGTCTCCCCTGCTTTCTACATTTGTTCTGAGAGCAATACCTTGGTGAACTGTGGGGTTTTTTTCAGGTCAAAGTGTGCAATTTCAATTTGTCCTTAATTTCTAAGAGTGGTAAGGTACTAAACATGGGAGCATACATGAAAACTCAAAGACTTTCTTGTTAGTCTTACTTTGAACATTTAAAGTTCTAAGAATTAATGCTTTGCATTTGCAGAGTGTGGGCTTTTTTAAGCTCACTCTAACTTCTAACTAGCCAATGTCTTATCCAGGGTTTGAGTGTTGTATTAAACTGAATTTTGGGATTGCACACAGAAATGGGAACAAAAATGTGTTTTCAATTGTGCCTAATTTATAAGCTTATAATTTTCCTCTTATATTTCTTTGAGTGGACGTGTAGGAGAACTTGACGGTGTTTGAATGGTGAATGTATAAATAGCTCTTCATTTTCATTATATGATCATTGCTATAATATGCAAGGTTTCTGAAGGCTGATGATAATCTAATATTTTGATTGTAATTTTTGTTTTTAAAGGGCTCTATGAGGAGGTGTACGATAACCAGCTTAACTTGGCCTGCTCTTTTGAAGACCCTGAGGACAAATGGTTAAGTGAATACTTTTATGAGCAATGCTTTAACACTGCTAAATTAGTAAAAGTTGATGGTGGGAAGAGAAAGGCACAAGCACATGTAAACATGGGCCTCATCAATGAGGGACGCGGTAAGTCACTGAGTTGATAAAACTACATTGTATCAGCCTTGAGAGAGTTATATTTGGCAATTTATGTTTCATCACAGGGCACAATATTTAATTTGTCTTTAAAGTGATTTTTAAAATAACAGTTGCAATTTCAATTTTTGGAGCATCAAATAAGAAGGCAAAGAAGTTTGTAATTATTCACAGACCCACTTCCTCTGACATTCTGTCTGCAGTTGAAAGTACTCCATCAGATGAAATACAAACACAAGTTTAAAGGGAGCATTTTTTTAGCACAGGGGTTCTTTGTGTTGGGCATTATTTGTTTTTACTTGTTTTTGACAAGAGACTGGTAATGCTGCTTCGGGCCACAGGTATTTGAGTAGGATGGCATCTGCAATTACACAAACTTAAATTTGTAAGGTAATTCAGTTTAATCCTGCTTCCAATTTATACTTAGATAAACAGTATATATTTTTGTGTACTTTTTTAAAACTTCCTTCTGGTTCTCTTGACTGAAAATGACACCCTGTTTGTTTGTATGTGACTGCCACGTTGGTGTTTGCTTCAGACTTACACCTTACCACAAGCTCCATTTCTCCATCTGTGCATCTGTATCCTTAAACTGGGAGTTTCTGAAATTAGAAAATATATCGATAGAAGTAACTAGAATCATAGAACAGCCCAGGTTGTTAGGGACCTGAAAAGATCATCTAATCCAACCTTTCATGGGAAAGGGAGTCTGGATGGGGTTATTTTAGCACCCTGTCCAATCTCATCTTGAAAACCTCCAGTGATGGGGACTCTGCCACGTCCCTGGGGAGACTGTTTCAGTGAACAATGGCTCTCACTGTAAACAATATTACTTTCTTATATCAAGATGAACCTTATTTCTGTATTTAAAAGCACACATTACCTTCATGGCAGAGGGGTTTGTGTGTGTATAGCAGTCTGAGTATAAAAAAGGTGTTTTCCTCTGTTTGCATAAAATCCTTTCATGTTGTGGGAAGACAAGCAATAAGTGAGCCTCAAGTAATTGAATAAAGCCTGTCTTCCAATTCCTAAGTGTACTGCATGCCTAACTACTGCTTAAAATATGTGATTTGTGTAGTCACTATGTTTTTGTTTCTAAGTTTGACTGTGAGTTGAAACAGTTCCAGCTCTAAACTCAACTTGTCGCTGGTTTCTCAAATAGAGTGGCTTTTCTTAAACAAAAGAAGATTCACAGAAATTTAAATATTTTGTGGAAGCAGTCTACTTCCACTAAATGTCTGACAGAATGGGCATGTTTTGAAAGATGTCCTAATTTCCCAGCAAAAACCTGGACATAAAACATAAAGCATGCAGCCTTTATGGGTTTTGTTTTGTTTTAATTGAAAGGTTATTGTCCTGGCTTTTACCCATGTTCTCTTAAAGCTGAGACATCACACCTTTTTTAATACTTTCTCACATGTTTTCTAGACTGCTGGTCATTCACACTGTTTTCCTGTGAACTGTTGCCATATCTTTCTTGCTTGCAACACGCAGTCCTGGATTCAGTTTTAAAATTTGAACTCATACCAATAATCAATAAAATAGAAGGATTACTTTTCTTGTACATTGCATTTTTATTTGGGTCTTCGGGTATGATATCCATGTTCTATGTTTCAACATGAACTGCATACTCATATTTGGTTCATGACCTTCAGTAATCTCTAAATTTTCTGAAGAACTGTTACCTGACTGTCCTGTTCTGTGTTCTGAGATCACCAGTCAGCTGTGCCTAAATGCAATTTGTTGGTGTCTCTTTGCACTGCGTAGCATCCTTGTGTTTTGGTGGTGGTTTCTAGAAATTGTCAGGGTTGCTTTGGTTTCTGAAGTTGTCCTTCAATGTGCTTTCTCTTCTTCCTGGTTTGGTATAATTTGAACATTTAAAAAGCGTTTTTCTAACCCTGTAATTCAGATCCTTTAATGAAAATACTAAGTAATAAACTGCATATAGCTTTTTCAATGCTGAGAGCAAACTACTGATAACCAATGTCTGTATAGGATTTCCTAACTAATTTGTGCTCACCTAACAGTAGTTACAGGTGAACCATGCTCCCCTAATGCTTTACACAGAAGTTATATGACAGTGAGAAAGAATTTATTAACTTAAATGGAAGATTGGTTAGATGACATTTGCTCTTGATATATTGACATTGGCTGTAGTATTTTCATGTTTTCTCGGTAATAATCTGATTGATTATTTATTTATTCCAGTGGTGGTTTTTTCTAGGAATTGAAGTTAAGCTAAGTCCAGTTTCCCAGTAGATAAGATAGTACTTGCTTAAAGCCCACCCAGTCCCAACCAAGTTATTTTCATTTTGAGTGAAAAATGCTTAATTAGTTTATCTGTCTCTTACTCAGTAGAATAAAACTATTGAATTTGCTGGTTTGGGGGTTTTTTTGCAACCTTTTCTCTTGGTCCTTCAGTTACTAAAAGTAAAATCATAAGAAGGTGCAGAAAAGCAAACATTCATATCTACTTATAACTTCAGAGGCACATACTGAGTGTGACTCACTAGTGTTATCCAACCACTGCCTTAAAAAACTTTAAAATTTCCTACTTTTACGATGTGTTAAGAAAAGATTATTGAATACTAAAATATATTGAAGCCCATTACAAAAGCACATAAAGTTATTAAATATACTGAGATGATCAGAGGTGAGGAAATTTTATTTTCCTGTTGTGAAATATTAGAAACTTCTAGAAGAGAGGCTTCTTATTAACTTTAGTAAAGAGAGATTAAATAAGATGCATTTTCACTGCGCAGGCTAAAACTCCACTTTATCTGTGGGGTCTGGCTGTTGCAAATATTTTCTTTCCATAGAGAGGGAGAGGTAAAAAAAATGAAGAAGGTGAGACAGTAAGCAGGATTTGCTTTGAGGCACCACTGAGAAAAAAGACAGCAGATGTATTCCATGCACTTTGTATTTTCAAGGGTGAAAAATTGATTCAAGGGTGAGTTCTGATTGCAGAAAAAGTGTAAGAGCAGATGTTGGGTTGGCATTGTATAAAACTGCATGAGTGTTAATGGTGTTGTAAGTATAAAAAGTTTAAACATACTATTTTTATATTAGGACAGAGACTTAACTTTTTATATAGCTTTTCTGTTCAGTTATCTATGATGCTGTGATCTGAATGAGTCACATGCCCGCTTCTAGGGGGTTATATACAGGAATAGATACACATGTATAGACACCTGTGTGTGCATTAATGTGTGTATATATATAGGAATATGTACATCTACCAATACAAATAGATGGATGTTTGTGTAGGTATGTGAATGATTCCTAACATTTATGAGACACTTCATCTGATCCACAAAAAGGGCCAGAAGGAGGACCCAGGAAACTACAGGCCCGTCAGCCTGACCTCAGTGCCTGGCAAGGTTATGGAGCAGATCATCCTCAGTGCAATCACACAGCACCTACAGGATGGACAAGGGATCAGACCCAGCCAGCACGGGTTTAGGAAGGGCAGATCCTGTCTGACCAACCTGATCTCCTTTTATGATCACGTGACCCGCCTGGTGGATGAGGGGAAGGCTGTGGATGTATCTACCTGGACTTCAGCAAGGCCTTTGACACCGTCTCCCACAGCATCCTCCTGAAAAAGCTGCAGCCCACGGCTTGGACAGGGGCACTCTGTGCTGAGTTAGGAACTGGCTGATGGCCGGGCCCAGAGAGTGGTGGGGAACAGTGCTGCATCCAGTTGGCAGCCGGTCACTAGTGGTGTCCCCCAGGGATCAGTGTTGGGCCCAGGTCTGTTTAATATCTTTATTGATGATCTGGACCAGGGGATTGAGACCATCATCAGCAAATTTGCAGATGACACCAAGTTGGGGGGGAGTGTCAATCAGCCGGAAGGCAGGAGGGCTCTGCAGAGGTACCTGGATAGGTTGGAGAGTTGGGCCAATTCCAACGGAATGAGGTTCAACAAGGCCAAGTGCCGGGTCCTGCACTTTGGCCACAACAACCCCCTGCAGCGCTACAGGCTGGGGACAGAGTGGCTGGAGAGCAGCCAGGCAGAAAGGCACCTGGGAGTTTGGATTGACAGGAAGCTGAACATGAGCCAGCAGTGGGCCCAGGTGGCCAAGAAGGCCAATGGCATCCTGGCCTGGATCAGGAACAGTGTGGCCAGCAGGTCCAAGGAGGTGATTCTTTCCCTGTACTCAGCACTGGTGAGGCCACACCTGGAGTGCTGTGTCCAGTTCTGGGCCCCTCAGTTCAGGAAGGATATTGAGGTGCTGGAGCAGGTCCAGAGAAGAGCAACGAGGCTGGTGAAGGGACTGGAGCACATGTCCTGTGAGGAGAGGCTGAGGGAGCTGGGGCTGTTCAGCCTGGAGAAGAGGAGGCTCAGGGGAGACCTCATCACTCTTTACAACTCCCTGACAGGAGGTTGTAGCCAGGTGGGGGTTGGTCTCTTCTCCCAGGCAACCAGCAGTAGGACAAGAGGGCATAGTCTTAAGCTGTGCCAAGGGAGGTTTAGGTTGGATATTAGAAAGAATTTCTTCACAGAGAGGGTGATCAGACATTGGAATGGGCTGCCCAGGGAAGCAGTAGATTCTCTGTCCCTGGAGATTTTCAAAAAGAGACTGGATGTGGCACTTAGTGCCATGGTCTAGTAACCGCAGTGATAGTGGATCAAGGGTTGGACTTGATGATCTCAGAGGTCCGTTCCAACCCAGCTGATTCTATGATTCTATAATTCTATGATTTAAATTGTCATATCTGTATTAACTGCCTTGATTAGTAGTGCAGCCAGGAAAATAAGTGAATTTGCAAGAATGAAATTAGTCACAGACATACATGTGTGCATCCTTTTAGATGTAAATATTTCATACCACTTCTTTTCAGTTCTCTCATCCAATAGTGTATTTTTCATTACTTGGGAAAGGAAACTGTCTATATATGCTTAGGACTGATTGCTTGGGAGTATAAAGTTAAACATTTACTTGTAAAGATTGTTGTTTGCCTTGGAAGAAAATCAATAAATTTGC